TAGGAGAGACTCAGTTGAGAAACGCATGCTCCAACAGGTCAGAAATACTCCCACGATCTTCCGGTTTCATGGCGAAACAGAGATTCAGAAACTCTGTTGCAGAATCGCCCAAATCTGGTGCGTGACTTTCCTCTCATTGCACATCTTGGGCCAAGGTGATTTCGTAAACATTTGCATAACCAGACCATATATAATGGGCTGGAACAAAAGTTTTATGACATACTGATTCCGGTGACATGAAGAAGATAGCACCTAACTGTCGGTTCTGCAAGTCATCACCAATTCGTTTTGCAATTCCAACATCAGAAAGTTTAGCTTCTTCTACATCCTCTCCTTCACGGTAATGTGAGCTCATGGCGCTGCACTCGATGTGAATTCCTGGACCCCAAGGACTCTTCCAACTTGGTTCACCGGGTTTTGCAGCCTGCATACATGTCAAACATAAACTCCAAATTAAAGGCTCTAGCTTACTGACTCAGAGACAAGGTAAAAAGAAACAAACACAAGAGACCTTCCATAGTGCAAAGTCAGCGCGGTTGCGGATCCTTGGATCAACAACAACAACATTTTCATCACCAGCTTGAGTATGATCCAGAAGTTGACTGTAGTTGGGTGACTTTCCGGCAGAGAAGAACACATCACCACCCACTTGATACCCGATATCTTTCTCAACCATCTGCAGCATATGGATCACAGAGAGCTAGAGTTTCATCAATCCTATGTCACGTCTTTCAACCAACAACAATGAAACAAGAGAGCGGACCTTTTCAATCATCTTTACTATGTGGTCCATCTGGTCACTGGCACAAAGCTGGTAGCTGGGAGGGATGCACTGAAGATCACGCAGATCTGCTTGGTACTGCTCCATAAATCCACTAGCTTTCTGCGTTTTAGTGAAAAATGGGTTTTACTCTCTCTCCAGAGAAACTTGGCAATCTCTCTCGCTCTACTTTTGAATTCTGGATTTACTTGGGCCTATTGGGCCGATTTTGGTAACGGATTTGATATTGGCTCGTATGTGATTGTTTTTTAAAAGACCATAAGGTGGTCTACAAGGTTTAGTGCAATGGAGAGGGATGCATACTTATGTGCAAAGCTGGGTGCTAGCTGAGGTTATCTTTATACAGTTTACACAATTCAAGCTTAGCAGATCTTGATATTCTTTGAAACCGGTGGTTAAAATCATCTACTCGATCGTTTACATGTCAATAAAGACGAGTTTACACACAGATTCTAGTTACAATCTTGGGATTCCAGGGATGAAGAGAGCCTTTCTGAATAGCTATATGCATAAGTAAAAGATTTGTCCTAGTAGTCAAAAACCCTTTTGCCTTGGCTGTGATGTGATGTATCAAAGCTTGTCAACAGGGGTTATTCCAAGAAGGTGGAAGCATTTCCGCATGACTATGGCCGTTGCTTCACAAAGTAGGAGACGGCTCGTCTCCTCTGCTGAACCAATGACCTGTACAAGTTCAAGATGAAATGGAAATAATGGTGGGTTGATGATTATGCAGTCTACTAAGGCTAAATACAAAAGTAGTACTCTGGGAATGCTCACCCGACAATTGAAATAGAATTTGGTGTACTGTTTAGATAATTTGTAGAGGTACTTGCACACCACGTTCGGTAACAATTTGGTGCACGCTTCCTCAACCGCCTGCAAATCGTTCACACATGGATTGCAACTTCTTACCAAGAAAAAAGAGAGGTCGAATATGAAAGAAGTATCTAAATGACCATGTGTTTTTACCTCAGTAAACTGAAGCAGGTGAAGCCCCAGTGCCCGTTCTTCTGCATGATCCAACGCTAGCTTTCCTCTCTGCCACAAAATAGGTCTTGAAACGTAAGAATTACTGCAAATTACACAAGACTTTGTAGTTTACAAAATCCAAGAAAATTAGTGTCCCGTTTCCTACAA